ATGCTGGCCTCATAGAAAGATACTGGGAGTCTTTCCTCCTCTTGGATTTTTTGGAATAGTTTGAGAAGAACAGGGGTTAGCTCTTCCAAAATGTTTTGTAAAATTCTCCTGTGAAACCGTCCGGCCCTCGGCTTTTGTGTGCCGAGAGTTTCTTGATTACTGCTTCCATTTCCCCAGCTGTTATCGGTCTGTTCAAGCTTTCTGTTTCTTCCTCCTTCAGTGTTGGAAGATTGTACTTTTCTAAAAATTTGTCCATTTCATCAAGATTTTCAAATTTCTTGCATATAATTGTTCATAGTAGTTTCTGACGATCCTTTGTATTTCTGTGGTATCAGTTGTTATTTCTCCTGTTTCATTTCTGATATTATTAATTTGGGTCCTCTCCCTTTTATTCTTGATGAGTCTGCTTAAAGGCTTGTCAACTTCATTTATCTTTTCAAAGAACCAACTTCTGGATTGGTGGATCCTCTGAATTGTTCTTTTTGTCTCTATGTCATTCAGTTCTGCTCTCATCTTGACTATTTCCTTCCTTCTACTTGCTCTGGGATTTATTTGTTGTTGTTTGTCCCGTTCTTGAATTTGTAGTGTTAGGTCTTTTATTTGAAATGTTTCTATCTTTTTTAGGTAAGCCTGTATTGCTATGAACTTCCCTCTCAGGACCGCCTTTGCTGTGTCCCATAGGTTTTGGACTGTTGTCTGTTCATTTTCATTTGTTTCCAGAAATGTTTTGATTTCTTCTCTTATCTCATTATTGACCCATTCATTGTTTAATAGTCTACTGTTCAGTCTCCATGAGTTTGCAAGCTTTTGAAGTTTCTCTTTGAGGTTGATTTCCAGTTTCAAGCCGTTGTGGTCCGAGAAAAAGCTTGGTATTATTTCAATTTTCCTGAAATTCCTGAGGTTTGCTTTGTGTCTTATAATATGGTCTATCTTTGAAAAACTGCCATGAGCATTTGAAAAGAATGTGTATTTTTCTTCTCTGGGATGTAAGGTTCTATATATGTCAGTTAAGTCTCTTTGATTCAGTGTGTCATTCAGTGCCACAATATGTTTATTAATGTTTTGTTTGGAAGATCTGTCCATTTTTGACAGTGGGGTGTTGAAATCCCCTACTATCAGTGTGTTGCTGTCTATATCTTTTTTGAAGTCATCCAACAATTGCCTTATAAATGTGGGGGCTCCTATATTGGGAGCATATAAGTTTACAATGTTGATGTCTTCTTGATAGATTCTTCCTTTAAGTATGATAAAGTGCCCCTCTGGGTCTCTCTTTGTGGCCTTTGTTTTGAAATCTACTTTGTCTGATACAAGTATGGCAACCCCGGCCTTTTTCTCATGCCCATTTTCTTGGAATATTATTTTCCATTCCTTTACTTTCAATCTGTGTAGGTCTCTTGCTCTGAGGTGGGTCTCTTGTAGGCAACATATGTGTGGGTCATGTTTTCTTATCCATTCGGCTACCCTGTGTCTTTTGATTGGGGCATTTAGTCCATTCACATTGAGCGATATTACTGATAGAAACTTATTCATCTTTTGTCTTTGTACCTGTGTTCCTCTCTCTCATTCTTTTCCTTCATCTGCTTAAACCAGTCCCCTTAGCATATCTTGGAGTGCTGGTTTGGTAGAGATGTATTCTTTTAGCCTTCTCTTGTCTGGGAAACTCCTTATTTCCCCTTTTATTTTAATGGAGAGACTTGCTGGTTAGAGCAGCCTTGGGTGTAGGCCCTTGCTTTTCAAGGCTTGGAATATTTGTTGCCATTCCCTTCTTGCTTGTAGTGTTTTTGTTGAGAAGACAGCTCCTAGGCATATAGGGCCCCCTTGTATGTTACTTTCTCCTCCCTTGCTGCCTTGAGGATTCTCTCTTTGTCTTTGACATTTGCCATTTTAATGATGATGTTTCTTGGAGTGGACCTCTTTGAGTCCCTCTTTAGTGGGGTCTTCTGTGCCTCCTGGATTCGTGAGAGCTTTTCTCTCCTCCAATTAGGGAAATTTTCTGTCATTACTTTTTCGAGGAGGTTCTCTATCCCTTGCTCCTCTTCTTCTCCTTTTGGTATACCTATTATATGGATATTAGTGCGTTTCAGGTTATGCTGCATTTCCCTAAATGCCTCCTCATTCTTTTTGAGTCTTTTTTCCATTTCTTGTTCTTTCTGGGATTCTTCCTACTTTATCCTCCATCTCACTGATTCGATCCTCGGCTTCATCCAGCCTGCTTTGGATTCCTTCTAATGTGTTCTTCAATTCGGCAATGCTATTCTTCTTATCCTCTTGTGTGTTCTTGATAGTTTCTATGTCCTTTTCCAGGCTGATATAGTTTGCTGTAAGATCCTGATAGTTTCTCTTCAGTTTCTCATAGTTATCTTTGAGCTGGCTGAGCTCATGGAGCTTCCTTAGAACCATCGCTTGGAATTCAGTATCTGATAGTTCCCTTGCCTCTACTTCATTTAGCTCTCTCTGTGGGGAGTCCCCTTTTCCACTCATTTGGGGGGAACTTCTTTTTCTTCCCATTTTTGTGAGAGTGTGTTAACTAATTCACTTATTTTTTATATTTATATTTGCTTCTGCTTCAATTGGGCTGTCTAGATATCCTGACTTTGTGGATTAAACTTCTATGCTACTAAGTGGGTCTTTATATTTATTTATTTATTCATTTATTTTCTTTACTTTTCTTTCTGGGCCTGCCTCTGATGATGTCAGTTGTTGACCCTATATGACCTTGGGTTGTTTCTTTGAGCCTTCCAGATGTCTACTGTCTGTGTCTGACTCCTGCTTGGGGCAGCTCTGTAACCCCTTCAGTCAGGGCTGGGCTATATTTTCGGATCGCTCTGTACTCTCACGCCTGCTCCTTGAACGTGTTCCCCCGCGCAGCAGGATCGCCCGCCTGCCTGGCCTCACATGTGCTTGCCCCAGTCCAGGGGGCTTATTCGCAACCTGACTACTCATCTGGCCCCCTTGGCCAGCAAGCTCCCCAGCACTGGTCAGTTTAGGGTCTTCTGTTGTGTGTTTTCCCCGCTTTTGGCTCTTTGGGTGCGTTGCTTGCCCTCGCCAAATGGAGACTACGGAAATGGGAGGAGGTCAGCTCCAGGACTCTCTGGTTAATCCCGTCTCCGGTCTCCTCCAGGAACTCTGGGCAGCTCTGTGACCCTTTCCACCGGGTATCTACTAATTTTGTGGGCCGCTCTACAATCGCAGGCGGGCGGGTCAATTTATGCCTGCCCTTTCTGCTCTGTGCACTCCCTCGCAGGCGGTATTGGTGCCAATCTGTAGGAGGCCTTGCCGGCGGGTGCAAGCGTTCGCCAGCCCACTGGGGTCACACACACTCTTGCCAACCCTCGCCAGTCACTCGGCGCAAGTGTGCGCGCCTGCACTGAGTGATTTTGGGGTGACTATGTGTGCTTTTCAGCTTTTGGCTCTTTGGGGGTGTGTCCACTTCCTGCACAATGGAGACTACTGTAAGGAGAAGGAGTCGGGACTCCCCAGTTCCTCCTCCCGTTCTTTCCCCAATGCCTCCGTTTCCAGACTCTCCTCAGGAGCCTCTGGGCAGTTCCCTGACCCCTTCTGCCAAGGATCCACCCCCTGTGCGGCCTGTGTTTCAATTGCAGGCAGTCTGGTTCGTGCGCGTCCTTCTTCTGCCTCTTTGGGGTTGCGCCTTTCCAGCCCACAATGGAGACTACAGAACGAGGAGGGAGTTGGGGCTCCCTGGTTCCTCATCCCGTTCTTTCCCCAACGCCTCCCTCTCCAGTGTCTCCTCAAGGCTCTCCCAGCCAGTCTGCACTCAGTCCCCCAGCTCACATGCACAAGCTGTGAGTGGAGCGCATAAAAGGCAGGTTAATTGATTCCCTTATGTCTGAGCGAGATGGTAGCTGCAGAGTGGGAGGTGCGTTATCACCCGGGCTCCACCAGCTGCGGTGTCGGTTCTCTTCACAAAGTTTTCCTCACCAGTCTTTTTCCAGGCACCAGCCCACCCTGCTGCCGCCTCTACCCAGAGATCAAGGAGGGTGGCTGCCACTGCAAACTTTGCGTTGGCCCTTAAATGTCTCTTTGCATCCCCAGCCACCTGTCTCTGACAGAGAGCGCCACCAGTCTCTGGCAGAGAGGGACCCCTAAGCTTTTTGGGGTTGCATTTTGTCTGTATTTTCTTGGTTTTAGCTGCTTTAGTTTAGGGGTCCCTGTTTATGATTCAGACCCCGTTCTTCTCGGGGAAAGCTAACTGGCCGTTTCAATGTCCCTCTGGTGCTGGTGCCCGTGGGCACCCAGCCCACCCTCTCGAGCCTCCACCGCACTTCTCACCCGTTGGGATGTGTGAGAGTCTAATCCACTGTCCGCAGCTCCAAGGCTCCTCTCCCACTATCGTTCCATTGTTTTCCAGGTGATTACTCCACTATTTAGTTGCAATTCCAGTTTGGTCTTGGGAGGAGGTCAGCGTGACTCCCATTCACTCCTCCACCATCTTCTCTCCCCCTCCTCTCCATGATATTGACCAGGCCATATATTGTGTGTGACATATAATATAAGCGAAAACTAAAGATAGTAATTTCCTACTCCTCAAGGTAGTGCTAGAAGTAGAACCCCAAGCCATTTAAAATCAATGTGTAGCTTCTAAAAAATCTTTTTTAAAGAAAAATAATGAAATACCTATATATTTTAAATATTTACTTTGTGCTTTATTTACCCATTTCTTTGAATACGTACACCATTCCAAGTGCTTTATTTAAATTATCTCACTATGTCTTACCTTGTAAGGTAAGTACTGTTGGAATACATAATGTATAGGTGAGTAAGCAGAGAGAGGATAAGTAACTTACCCAAGATGACATAGCTACATCAGGATTTAAACCTAGGCAGTACAACTCCAGGGCCCAGTCTCTTATCTCCTAGGCTATATTTCGTCTGCAGAGAACATAGTATAATTTGCAAACTACTTTTTAAAGATTTGGAGGGGAGGGAAGATTACCAACAAATAGTTTATTATGTTTTTAGGAATGTCATTATATTTTCAGGAATCTGGGGTGTTGGTGTTGCAACTCAGAAAGTTAACTTGAATCAGATTCCTCTTGGCCGAGATGTGCACAGCCTGGTGATGAGAAATGATGGAGCTCTGTACCACAACAATGAGGAGAAAAACAGGCTGCCAGCCAACAGCCTTCCACAGGAGGGAGACGTGGTGGTAAGTGTTCTTGTGGAGTTGTCTTCCACTGTACATTATTACACTAGAACTGCTTTCAGTATATGTACTTTTACCTGGGAGTTTATGGTTTGAATTCCAAAACACTGGGATTATATCTAATGAGGTGGTACATTTTCTGAAGAGAGCACTTGGTATAAATGCTGCTGTCTTACCAAACTCTCTTCTTTTTATAGCTGTCACTGGTGAGGGATATCCATGTAAGTCCTTATTTCCATTGAGGAGAATTAATGACATAGACAGCTGATCAACATTTCTTGCTTCTTCACATCTAAGAAATCTTAGTCCTCAGTTTTGAAAGTTTGCTCACCCTTATATTAGGAAATAGTAAGTATTTTTGCAGCTGGAGGTCTCTTAGAGAAAATTTTTACATTACTTCATTTGTAAAGAACTTCTGTTAAAGAATACAGCATTTTATCAGGAATGTTGGTCCTCATTAAACTTAATCTTATTAAACTTACTTCACATTCAGAACTCTTCAAAGAAATGGACTTGAAATCTTAATGCAGGGGTGTCCAACTCATGGTCCAGGATGGCTATGAACATGGCCCAACTCAAAATTGTAAATTTACTTAAAACATTAAAAAACATTACTTAGTTTTATACTAAGTTTTATTACTTAGATATGTATATCTTCTATTTTAGTGATCACAAACTTGGGTACTGCTCAGCAATTTTAAAATATCATCAGAAGGGCCACTGCATAATTAGGGTTATTATGTGAGAACTTTTTTGCTTATATGTAATGGCAGATATCATGAAAATTATGCATGAATCTTTTTTTTTGTTCATCAGTTTTCGTTAGTGTTTGTATATTTAATGGGTGGCCCAAGACAACTTCTCTTCTTCCATCCAAGAGGTTTGGACACCCCCATCTTAAGGCTTTTCCAAAGCCACCCTATTAAGAATGTTATCCAAAGATCCCTCCCTGTCTTTTCCAGGTACTTTCTCTCATACAGTGTTATCCAAGAACCTTATACACTGAGTTCAGGCTGTTTGCTATTGATTGAAAACAGAGTTCTTAGGTTTTCTTTAGCAAAGGCACCCTTGTATATAGAACTGAGTTCCTGGCTCTGGTACCATGTTGAAAGGAATCTGTAAATAATGAGGGAAAGTTTCTAATAATAAGATGGCACAGACAAGGTAAAGTCAGCTTATTGAATTAAATACACAGTATTTTGGAGAGAATTAAGGAAGATATGAAAATTAAGATTTTCTGCAAGAAAAAAACACATTAAAATGTTATTAAAGAACACTTATTAAATAGGCAAATTATTAAAGGGCTTCCCCCCCCCTAAATTGGCTCAGAAAAAAGAAGACAAAAGGCATAAACTTTAAAAATCTGCTCTTCCTGTTCTCTTTAATAGTTAGTTTTGTATTTGTAGATCATTGACAGATGTTCATAGCATGGAACACCATTATTCAAATGGTTATTTCTTGTGAGAGAATCTTGAAGTTAAGTTGATGCTATCAATCTACTTACACTAAAAAATGAAATTTGAACATGAGAAAGGATAATCTGTAGCAAATATTTTTAATGTACTGAATTTCTGTTTGTTATTCTGGTCTTCCTATTTCATTCATTGAAATGACTGATACCACAAATTGCCAGACTTAAGAATGTCATTTTTAGCCTGTCAGCATTATTAAATTAGACTTAGATTTTCATGCCCTTTTGATAAAAAAAGATGAAATATATGCAGAATCAAGAAAAATAAAACATTACGCTACCATTGTAAGTTTATCTTCCTCTTTCAAACACTTGAGAACAAATTTCATCAAATTGCTGACAGTGTCATTAGAAAAGTTAACTAGATTATAAAATAGGAAAAATTCTCATATATATAGAATTTCAGTCATACCATTCTCTGAGGAGAAATCAAGAAGAATAAGCTATCAACATCCAACCAAATGATTATATTCATACAAAAATCATATATATCAGTGGCCTACTGCAGTAGTAGGAAGGCATATCTGAAACAGTTTACACTTATTTTTCCTTTTATAAATAATTTTCAAGAATAAATTACATTCTAAAATTGCATTTTTCAGTTTAATTTTAGAGAAGTTTGATAAATTCTTCTCTAGCATTTATTATGGGACAGGTACTGTTTTAGGTGCCTGTCAGGGATTTAAATTGCTAATCTTCATAATGACCCTATGAAATAGGGAGTATTGTTATCACCATTTTACAGATTAGGAGAAGTAACTTATTTTACAGGGTGATCCCAGGGTTATAATACAGGCGGTTTAATTTCAGGGTCAGTTCACTAAACCTGCACACAGTTATTAAGTGCATCATTATGTCAAAATCAAACCTAACGTCTAGATCATATAAAAGGACAGATTAAGTTAGAAAACGATTGAACCAAATGCTGCTGATGGGGGATTGGGGTTCTCACATCCTTTCTCACTTCTTTCTTTGGTATTGGGACATACAGGGATTTTGCTTTTACGCTGGAGTCTTGTGTTTAAAATTGCTTGCTTGCAGTAGGTTATGTTGCCACCAGGTGGTGAAGGGTGCCTGGATTATGACCTGATCTGAATGAACTAGAATTTCCTGTAGTCCTATAAAGAGAGCACCACTTTGCTGTTTTTGTAATTATATTTTTGTTTTTTAAACAGACCTCTTCATTTAAAAAGCTAATACCAGCTGTCAGTTGTCTTTATTATTGTATTTAAATACCTAAACTGAAATGAAACAAAGACAGTCAGTTTATCTTTCTCAATATTCCTTAGCCTTTTATAAGTCATTGTTTAACCTTGGCTTTGCTAAGGTTGGAAGAGAATATTTTATAACACTTAACACATTGATTTATCTGAGCCTTTTTCAAAAGTGAGGGAGTAAAGACTAGATCATCTGTAAGATCTTTTTCTACCTTTAAAAAGCTTATAAATTGATACAATTTATCCAGTCAGAAATCTTTGAAATGGTTGCTTCTTGATCTGCGATCATTTCTCTGTAGAAAAATCTCCGCTGTCTATTCTTAATTCTTCCAAAGAAAGTTCTCTTTTTTTTTCATCAAAAGAGATTGTATTAGGTTTTAACGAGCATTTTAAAAGTTTAAAATTATGCATGTAAAAAAAAGAAAACCGTTTAAAATTACATGCCAGCTAAGTATTCCAAAACCATACTACATAGGTATAAATCCCATCTCTGCCAATTCCTAGCTTAGGTAAATTATTTAACCTCTTTTTGCTGTAGTTGTAAAATGCATTCAATAATAATACCTTTCTTTTTGTGAAGATTAAATGAATAAATATGAAGTGCCTAGAATAATGCTTGGTATCTGTTTCCCAGCATTTTAATAATAATAATTGTTATTAATTATGTTTTTATACCACTAATAGTACACAAAGTAATAGTTTTACTTCAGTGTTTTTTTAAAAAATCTTTTGGACTGTTTTTCTTTTTTTCCAGTTGATAGTGATTACCAATTACAGTTGATCCTTGCACAACACGGGTTAGGAGCACTGACCCCCTGCACATATAACTTTTGACTCCCCCAAAATTTAGTTGTCCCTTGGTATCCACTGGGGCTCGTTCTGGGACTGCCCATGTATACCAAAATCCATGGACGCTCAAGTCTCCTATATAAAATGGCATTGATCAATGCATATACAGTTGACACTCCACGTCTGCAACTGCCAACATGGATTGAAAATACTACACGTATTTATAGAAGAAAATCTGCATATAAGAGACCTGCATGGTACAAAGCATATTGTTCTAGAGTCAACTGTATATTTAGTTATAAATCTAAGTTTTATGTTGGTAATACACTTGACATATCTGAAACCAAGGCAAAGAAATACAGAAATATATGATTTCTTCTTGGAAATAAATTATATAAAGACACTTCTTCACAACATGAAAACAATGAAAAGTAGTATGCTGTAATGGTAAAAACGTTATTGTTTCCCCCACTTTAGGTCAAATTCTGCATATAGAGAACAGTGTTTCTGTATGAGTTTAAAAGATCTCTCTGTTGATCTTATGCCAGTAGTTATATCATCTTAAATATCCCAAATATAAAATCCAGAGTATCTAAATGTAATACTGGGATTTAAACTGATGTCATTTGTTTTACCTCTACTGTTGACTCTGGGATTTCTCCCTACCCCAGCCCCACATAATCACCCCCCCCCCTTTTTTTTTAGCTCAATTCAATTAGACATCTGCCAAATTGTAAACCCTTCAGGAAAGCTATTGTGGCCCCACTATTTAGGGTTTTTTTTGTGTGTACCATGCTTCACAATAAGTATTTTCTGACTGGTCTTATTTTTATGAAACATTTATATTTTTACCACCATTTAAAATATTTTCTTTTGTTTCTAGGGTATTACATATGACCATGTAGAATTAAATGTATATTTGAATGGAAAAAACATGCATTGTCCAGCATCAGGTATAAGAGGGACAGTGTATCCAGTTGTTTATGGTAAGCTAAAATATTATATTTCTAAATATTATTTGATATCTGTTAACTTTTATTAAGGAATTTTTTATTGGGAATGTATTCAGCAGTATAACACAGTCCTAATTGCAGGACTAAAGGAAGGTTTTTATGCCCAAGAAAAAGTGTGTAGGTATAGCTTCTGTAGAAGCATGTCCTGTAAGAATTGGGTTATTTAGAGATAACTCTATACCACTAAATTACTTTAATTTTTATTACAGAAAATTTCAAACATATTTAAAAATAAAGAGATAATATAATGAACCCTCATGTACCCATCACCAATCTTCAAACAATTATTAACTTGTAAGCAATCAAATTTCATTTAACCCCAACACTCCCGCTGTTTTTCATCTCCCCTCCTTGGATTATTTTGAGACAAACCATTTTAGTTACAGATATTTTATGTGCATATCTAAAAAATAAGGTATCTCTCTAAAAAAAGAAAATTAACCAGAATGACTTTATCACTCTATTCTGCTTTTTTTTTTTATGTTGCTAACTTTAAATCAACACATGTATGATTTTTCTGGCTATAGTTTTAGTAGCTCTAAAAGTGATTTCTCATTTAACTATTTTATTTAAATTCTTACATTTGAGCCATAATAAAAACTACTTATTAATGTTTTGTAATAATTTCCTAGCAAATTAGCAATGTTATTGAGGACATACTGTTTGGGATGTCAAAAAAAGTAAGCAATAACAAATACAAATATTTAATAATATGATATTAACAACCAAAGCCTGTGTTTTATGTTTTAATTAAGATTTTTATTAGTGTTCTCTAAAAAATTGCTTTTCAATTTTACCTTCTGCATCTATGCATGTAAAAGTGTTTTTTTTTTATATTTTATAGCTTATGCTATTAGTTGTCCCAAATTTTCCCCTTTGTCCCCTTTGACTCCGCACCTGCCCCCCCTCCCAGTCCCTCAGGTAGTACCCACAACATTGTCCATGTCCATGGGTCCGGCATATATGTCCTTTGGCTACTCTTCTGTAGCCAAAGATGTACTTTATGTCCCCATGACTATTCTATAACTACCAATTTGTAGTTCTTTTTTTTAAAATATTTATTTTAAATTTATAAATCATGTTTATTCTATTACAGTTGTCTCAGTTTTTACCCCTTTACCCTGCCTCCACCCATCACACCGCCACCCCCATTCCCACAGTCAATTCTCACTCTGTTGTCCATGTGCATGGGTCATTCATACATGTTCTTTATCTAGTCCCTTCCCCTTCTTTCCAACATTGTCCTCTTTCCCCATCCCCTCTGGTCATTTTCAGCTTGCTCCATGTCTCCATGTCTGTGGTTTATTTTGTTTGTTAGTTTATTTTGTTGAATAGAGTCCACTTATAGGTGAGATCACGTGATATTTGTCTTTCACCAACTGGCTTATTTCACTTAGCTTAATATTCTCCACTTCCATCCATGTTGTCATGAAAGGTAGGAGTTCCATCTCTCTTTCTTTCTTAAATACAGATTGATTTTGTTTATTTTTTTAAATTTCAAAGTTAACTATAAAATATTTAAAACCATTATAAAGTCTCAGCAATTAAACCAACATCACATCTACACAGAAATAATCAAGTAGATCAATGAAATATAATGAACATTCTAGAGACAAACATATATATCTGTCTAACAATGTAAATATGATAATTGATATTTCAAATCAATGGGGAAAATAAGGCTTATTCAACAAATAAGGTGCATGGACCACTATTACTTGAAATAAAACCAATATAGAACCCTATTTCACACATTATACGGGAAATAGGTGAGTTAAAAATCAATATGTAGAATCGAAGGAGTTTTAGAAGAAAATACAGCTAATATTTTTCATGACCTGAAGTATAATATTCAAACCCAGAAGCTATAAAGTAATGACAATATGACTATATTAAACATTTAACTATATAGTAATATACATATAAAAAAGTTAAAAGACAAGGAATAGAATAGAAAAGTATTTGTAACACATCTAAAACATGGTTAATAGGTTGTTTTTTATTTTTTTGTTTTTTTAGAGAAAAATGTTCTACAAACCTTTAATCAATAAATGGATAAAGAATACCAAAAAGTCATTTAAAGCTTTTTTTAAAAAAAAAATAATAATAGAAACAGGCAAGAAATATACAAAAACAGGTTTAGTTTCAACAAATAATAAGGGAACAATTAAAATAACATCATGGTCACAATCAGATTAATGAGTATTAAAAATATTAGTAATATCAAGTATTGGCAACTCTGAAAGGAACTGGGTATTCATAGAAACTTTTTCTTCATCTTAAAGCAGTCCCTTTAGCATATTGTGTAGTGCTGGTTTGGTGGAGGTGTATTCTTTTAGCCTTCTTTTGTCTGGGAAACTCCTTATTTTGCCTTCCATTATATATGAGAGCCTTGCTGGTAGAGCAGTCTTGATTGCAGACTTTTGCTTTTCTTGACTTGGAATATTTCTTGCCAGTCCCTTCTGGCTTGCAGGGTTTCTGTTGAGAAGTCAGATGCTAGCTGTATTGGGGCTCCCTTACATGTTACTACCTCTTTCTCCCTCGCTGGCTTTAGGATTCTCTGTTTGTCTTTGATATTTGCCATTTTAATGATGATGTGTCTTGAAGTGGGCCCCATTGGGTTCCTCTTGAATGGGACCCTTGTGCTTCCTGGACTTGTGTGACTTTTTCTCTCCTCTAATTAGGGAAGTTTTCCCTCATTACTTTTTCAAACATGTTCTCTATCCCTTCCTCCTCCTCTTCTCCTTCTGGTATCCCTATTATACGGATATAATTATATTTCAGGTTGTCCTGCATTTCCCTAAATGCCTCTTCATGCTTTTTGAGTCTTTTTTCATTTTCTTGCTCTTTCTGGGAGCTTTTTTCTACCTTATCCTCTTTTTTCTACCTTATACCAGTTTGCTGATTCAGTCCTCATCTTCATCAAGCCTGCTTTCGATTCCTTTTACTGTGTTCTTCAGTTCAGAAGTTGTATTCTTCATTTCTTCTTGTCTCTTATTGATGGTTTCTATGTCCTTTTTCATGCTGATATAGTTTGCAGTTAAGTTCCTCGTAGTTTCCCTGTAGTTTTTTGTAATTCTCTCTGAGCTCACCGAGCTCATTTGAACTTTCTTAGAACTGTTGTTTGGAACTCACATCCTGATAGTTTACTTGCCTCTGTTTCATTTAGTTTTCTTTCTGGGGATTCTTCCTTTCCCTTAGAGTGGGGCATATTTCTTTGACTTCCCATTATTTGTGAGACTCTTCTCTTTTGCTTCTGATTCTTAAGTTGATCTGTCTTGATTTCCTGACTTTCTGGTGTGTAATTTGTAGTTTTTAATCACTTTACCTTTTTCACCCATCCCCTGACGCTCTTCCCATCTGGCAACATCAAAATGCTCTCTATGTCGTGATTCTGTTTCCGTTCTCCTTGTTTTTTTTCCTTTGTTTTTTAGGTTCAGTTGCTGACAGATATGTATGTATTGCCATTTTATTGTTCATATTTATTTTCTTCTTAAAGGACACCCTGTCACATTTCATAAAATACTGGTTTGGTGATGATGAACTCCTTTAGCTTTTTCTTGCCTGGAAAGCCCTTTATCTTTCCTTCGATTCTAAATGATAACTTTGTTGGGTAAAGTAATCTTGGTTTTAGGTCCTTGCTTTTTATCACTTTGAATATTTCTTGCCAATCCTTTATAGCCTGCAAAGTTTCTTTAGAAAAATCAGCTGATTGTCTTATGGGTGCTCTCTTGTAGGTAACTGACTGCTTTTCTCTTGCTGTTTTTAAATTTCTTTATATTACCTTTTGGCATTTTCATTATGATGTGTCTTGGAGTAGGGTACTTTGGGTCCATCTTGTTTAGGACTCTCTGTGCTTCCTGGACTTGTATGTCTATTCCTTCACCAAGTTAGGGAAGTTTTCTTACATTATTTTTTCGAATAGCTTTCCAATTCCTTGCTCTCTCTCTTCTTCTGGCACACCTATGATGCAGATGTTGGTATGGTTCAAGTTGTCCCAGAGGCTCCTTACCTATCCATATTTTTAGGGGGGTATTCCTTTTTCTTCTTGCTGTTCTGATTGGCTGTTGTTTCCTTTCTTACATTCCAAATTGTTGCTTTCTCAGCTTCACCAACTCTACTGTTGATTCCCTGTAAATTATTCTTTATTTCAATTAGTGTATTGTTCATTTCTGACTGGATTTTTTATGCTTTTGAGGTCCTCAATTAGTTCCTTGAACATCCTGATAACCAGTGTTTGAATTCTGCATCTAGTACATTGCTTGTCTTCATTTTGGTTAGTTCTTTTTCTGGAGTTTTGATCTGTTTTTATCATTTGGGCCATGTTTCACCTTATGTTGTCAGCCTCACTGTGTTTGTTTTTATGTATTAGATAGAGTTGCTACACCTCCCAGGTTGGCATAATGCAGTGTATGTCCTATAGAGTCTGGCGGCACAGCCTCTGCTATTCAAGCTCTGTACTCTGGGTGTGTTCACTGTGTGACCTCTGTACACCCTTCACTTGTAGTTGAGCTTTGATGGCTTTTGACATGTCAAGGTCAGCCACCAACTGTGTTCTGTTGTTCGGGGTCACACAGCATAAACTACAAAGCAATCTATAAATGGCTGCTACTTATGCTGGGCTTTGGAGGAGCCCAGGCAATACCAAGCTGTGATCCAAGGCCAGCTCATGCTAGTGCTGGACCTGGGGCAATTTAGCAAGGGGTTACTCACTGAAGCCAGATGCTGCTTGTTTGAGAGAACTTAGGAAAATCTGAAGCATGGGCCAACACAAGCCATTTATATGGAAAAGACACTGGAAACAGTTTGGTTGGGCCTGAAAGTTGGGTGGGGTCCCAACTTTCAGGGAATCAACAGAGTGAGGGCAAATATTGTGAGCTGGGTTGATGGAGTCTTGGGTATTGCACCTGCTGGGTCTGTGGTGGGGTGGGGCTCAGAAAAGCAACAGTGGCCTCTGCCAGCACTTCTTTCTGGGGGAAAGCTGTCCCCCAGCTCTTACTCTGATGCCAGACCATTCAGTTCCTCCCCATATGTCTCTGATGCCTTTTAATCTGCTGCTCCAGTGCTGGAGTTTAGAGGGAATGAGCCTGAGCAAGTCTGTGCATGGGCTTTTCACTCCTGCAGATGTTGCAGCTGATCTGAGAGATACAAACTTTTTTCTTAAATATCTTTACATATATTGGATAGAGTCAAGGTCATGACTAGTAGTGCATTTGTATGTGACTAATGTTAAGCCATACCATTTAAGCAGTCAGTTTGCTTATAACACACGTTTCATAAGGGTGCATGTTCGATAGTAAATTGTATCTGAGAGATACCATGAACTCCATCGTCAGTGTTTGTTGATGTAGTAGGGTTTTTTTTACCACAGACTTTGAAGTCATTGTGTCTTTTTTTTCACTTACCATTGAAAATGGCTGGAAAATTACGTTGATTCAGTAATCCTAGAGTTGTTGAGGAACTTCAGTGAATGCTACTCAAGTCCAATGATGAAAATGATAGAGTCTCATATACCCAAAAAGGGATAAAATGTAATTTTAATTTCAAGTATGCACTTCTGTGACACCATAAATTTAGATTCACAAAAGCTTCACATTATAGAATATTACCACCAAATGAAGTCAGGACTTGACACTGGACCAAATGATAGATATATTTAATGTGGCCAAGAACACCAGAAGATGGCCTGTGGTTATATTCTTACACTATTTTGAGTATTGCAGGAATAAATGCTCAGACTATTCATATGCTAAACAGCAATGTGAAAATAAAGCTCAGAATATTGATTAGAAATCCCGTAATGCAGTTAGTGTCTGAACAAATAAAGGCATTCAGAAATCTCTGCAGGTGTACACAAGGCTTTACACGTGAAACTTCATCAATTTCAAATACAAACTGAAGGAAATTCTAATGGTGTAATAGATAATGGCTACCTCAACAAGCAGAAAAACAAAAGGATGTGTTAGGTGCTATGCATCCAAAATGACTGGCTTATCAAAATATTTTTGCAAGTGTTGTGAAAAGTATTTATGCCTTGAGCATGGCAATATTGTTTGTGATGACTACAAACATTGTGCAAAATCAGCTGTTGAAGATTCTGATTAATTAATGTGAAAGACATTTTTTGCTTGTATTTTTCAGCAATATCCTGTTTCCATTACTTGAAAATAAAGATTTTTATTCTTTATGTTTTAGTGCTTCTTTATTTAATAATTTCTAGATTATAGCTGAAAAAACTGGATTGGCCAAACTGTCCATATGGTTTTTTTTCCATAAAAGACTCATATTTTATTTTCACCAGTAACTTTATTGATTTGGATATTTTGAGTATATCAGCTATCTCCTATGTGATATAATGTTGATTGTTCTCAATTAATGTCTCACTTTGATTGCTATCCACTTCAACTAGTCTGCCCGACTGTGGAGCTTCATCCAGCAAGAAATCTCCAGCACGAATCTTCACAGACCACATTTGACGTTTGATCAGTCACAACACCTTCTCCATGCACTGCACAAATTTTTTTTTCTTGTATTTCAATTGAGGTTTTACCTTTCTTGAAATAATAAAGCATAATACGCCGAAAATGTTGTGTATTTTCTCCCATCTTCAATATTAAGATGGCTACACAAAAACTCACCAATTTTGTTTTTTTTTTTTAAATGCATGCTGATATGACAGCTGCTACACTACAATCTAACAAAATTGTTTCAAATGAAGTCAGTTACAGTTAAGTGCTATTAGAGCTATCTTACCTAAAAAACCAAATGAACTTTGTCGGCAACCCAGTAAATAAAATTTATGTATTTTATTATGTCTATATAATGCAAATTTGCAGTGTTTTTAATTTTTTTTCACACTTCAGCACATACTAGTAATGAATGTGTCTCCTGGATACACAAGACCTACACTGTAATTTTTTTGACTGCGACCTCCTGAAGGTCAAGAGGAACTGCCTGGGATTCCAGCAGTTTCTGTCTTCCATAGCCGTAATTCCTGTCAGTTTTTACAGCCAGAAGTTATGGAGACTTACCTTCTTGGCACTGGAACCCTGGGCTGGGGGACTTGGTGTGGGGTTGGGATCCCTCAGATCCTGATATCCCTCCTGATTTTTGTCCACTACACATGCGTGTGGGAGCAACCTGTCCCACTCTTCCACCCCTCCTACCTGTCTTGATATGGTTTCTTCTTTGATTCTGTAGTTGTAGGACTTTAATTCAGCACAATTTCTGACGATTCTGAGTGATGATGGTTCTATAATTATTTGCAATTTTGATGTGGTTGTACAAGGAAGTGAGTCATGTTTACCTAGGCTGCCATCTTAACCAGAAGTTAAAAGTGTATTTTTAAACTCATTTTAGGTTAGTTTTCTCTCCATATTGGATGAGCCTAAAATCCATTCCTCTAGCTACTTAAATAAATGGAAATGTAGCTTAATATTCAAAACAGTTTAGCCTGAGAAGTGAAGTAAATATCAGTAGAATGACTGAGTTACACAAATGAATAGCAAATAAAATTATTACTCTAAATTGTTTCTGTGATTCAGCATTATTTTTAATATAATAAAGTTATAGATAGTAAATTACATATAATAAAGTATATTTTATAAATTGGAATTGATAAATCAACCCAATTAAATCAAATATATTAATAGTCTAATACTATCACAGATAAAAATAATATTTATGTTCTTTTATCTTTGTCCTCCATCCCATCCCTGATTCTAAATCATTCCAGCCATTCATTTTGTCTGTTCTTACACTCAGTCCACGGAGAGACAAAACTGTACAACACTCAAGGAAAAAGCCATGGCATAATGTAAGCTCTCAATATTTTTGGCAATTCTTTTACATCTCTAAACATCTGGACCTTCTTGAATTTCCTACTCAATTCTTTGCAGATGACCTTGCCTTCTACTTTATGGAGAACAGACTATCAAGAGTGAGTTCCACATTCCCTCCCTTACCCTTCTGAAGCTTTTCTGGGTCTACTCCAATCTTGCCCCCTTTTATCTCTTCTCAGACAGAGGAAGTGGTATCCTTCATGTTCAGAAAACTCAGTCGATAGTCTATTTCAAACTCTCCAACTCTGGGACTTCACTCTTTCAGCTATTTCATCTATTTCTCGTGTCATCAACTTGTATCTTCAATGCCTATAAAAATTCTGAGTCATTCTCCTCTGAAAAAATCCTCCCTCAAACTCATACCCCTCACTAGCCCTGTGTTTATCCTCCTCCATATGGCTGCATTTCTTATAGAATAGCTTATACCACTGTCTTTACTGCATTATTCATTGATCTTCAACCCAGTTTGGCTGTCTTTACCACCACTTCACTGAAAACACCTTTGTGAAAATCATTAATGCCTTCAAGAATGTCAAATCCAGTATTTGACTTTTTTCAGCATTCATTATGAAATGTAAAATATTAACTATATCTGTGCAATTTGACAGTAGTTATAAAGTGATCACCTATGTCATTACCCCAGTCAAGATAGCAAGCTTATTAATGACCCTTAAAAGTTTTCTTCTGCTCTGTTATAATCCTTCCTGCGCACCTCTCCCCACCTCAACCTGTCAGACAACCACTGATCTGCTTTCTTTCACTACAGATTATCTTGCATTTTTACAGTATTAAATAAGCAATACTATTAACAATACTATTTAGAGTATTAAATAAACAAGCATACAGTTCGTATTAATTTTTGGCTTCTTCACGCAGCACAGTTACTTTAAGATTCATTCATGTTGTATTGAAAATAAGTCAGTCTTTTTATTTTTCTTTTGGCCAAATAGTATAGTTCATTCTGTGAATTTATCACAATTTGTTTTACCTTTTATGTGTTAATGGTTGTTTTTAGTTTTTGTGTTTCTTTTTGCCTGTGTTAGGTTGTTTTTAGTTTTTGGCCATTAAAAATAACGCCGTTACAAACATTTCATGTACAAATCTTTTTGTATAGCTGTATGTAGTCATTTCTTTTGGATAGATGCTGGTAAAAATATGTAGATGCTAAATAAGCCCTAAAGTCTAGTTGACAGTATTTTATCAATGTCAGTTTTCTGGATTTCATATTGTACTATAGTTATATAAGATTTTACCACTAGAGACTTTATATTATTTTTGCAACTTGCTGTGAATCTATAATTTTTTCAAGATGAAATTTTAAAAGAAGGAATGGATCTTTTAAAGAATAATAAATCTTAATAATATAAAGTTTAGAAAATACAGGTTGGCAAATCAGGAAAAATTAAAAGTACCTATGGGCATACCATTTAGAGATTATTAATATGTTGATAATAATTACTGATGTTTATAATATTAAGAGTATTGTTAATAATAATAATAATGTTTTTGATAGATTTTGTTTTTTGTTGTGGACATGTTTTTGATAGACAGATTTCGTTTTTGATTGCGGACCTTTTTACCCAATAAGATTATGTTTTGTAATCTGGATAGTAGATGGGTTTATTCTTTTTACCTATTGATATTATGGTATTTTGGAAACAGTTTATTTTACAATTATGTAGTAATAAAAATTAAGGTATTTACTTCTAATTTATTTGTTTTCTTTTTCTATCTCTAGTTGATGACAGTGCAATTTTGGATTGCCAGTTCAGTGAATTTTATCATACTCCTCCACCTGGTTTTGAAAAGATACTATTTGAACAACAGATCTTCTGAATGTATTTGTTTTTGAAACATGTATTTCTGCACTTTTAAAAGTGTTTACCATTTAATAAAGCTTTACCTGACTATAGATGAAAATATATTCTTAAAAATATGCTTGTTAATGTTGGTTAAGGAACCAATATATTCAATACACCACCCAGAAATTGTGATTTAAAATACTTATGATTTATGACATGAAATGAGCACTTTGGGCTGTTTATTTAATTCTTATTTAAATAAATATAACTATGGGCAGTATCAAGTGGAAATATGTATATATATATATATTTAAAAGGGAATTTTTATTACATAAAATATTTGTTTTGATAGAGACATAGAGTTGGGTGGGTTTTTGTTAAAGCTTAGATTTCATCAACTATTTTAAGACTGCAGTCCAATAATTTTGTGCCTCGTGTCCTTTTTTATATAGACTATAATAAATCAACAAATTTGTATTACTGGCAACTTCATTTTTTGCGATCTATTTACTATAAGATACACCACTTTTCTTAAAATTTAAATTGCTTATTTTGTTTGTATATCATTGCTTTTGATTTGCTTTGTGAAAGGAGATAAATATCATAGTAATTGTTATTTTGTTGAAGACCATTATGCTGTGTTACTTCAATACCAGAGTAAATAGTGGTTGATCCATGATACAAGGGGAACGCCCCGAAAAACCAGAATTATATTCTTGAGGGCAGGCCCCTTGTAGCACAGGCTTCCCCAAATATGTGAGTGTTCTAGGAACCCATCTGTATCAGTGTACCAGCTGGCATTGTTGTGGCTGCATTCAGTTTTTGTGAATTTTTTATGAAGATTCTTTCAATATGTTTGCCCATTTTATGATGAGTGATTTATGAGCATATCTGCCCACACCACACTGAGCTTTCAGCAGTTAGGACCAAAAACAGGCATGACCCTTGTGCCCATCCTCCCTATTCACATCATCTCACACTGAGGAACTCTTTTTATTTTGTTTGTTTCCCTGGATGAAAAAAGTCCTGAAGGAAAACATATTGCTGATGTGGAAGAGGAAAAACAAAAAATGGCGGAAGCACTAAAAAGCATCAAAATCGAGTTCAAAAACTGTTTTCAGCAGTGGAAAAAATATCTCAATAGGTGCATTGCATCAAATGGAGAGTACTTTGAAGGTGACTGAAGTTTAAACGTAAGAATAAATGCAGAATTTTTTATATAAGTGGTTTTTTTGGGGGGTGTCCCCCCTTATATAGCACACACTGGCAGACATTTAGAATAAATAGTGTGATGCTTTAAACTTAAATGTAAATGAGGTTATTCTTCTAAGGACTTTCATTAAATGCATATTTTTCTGTAAGGAATGATAAAATAATACTAAGAAATATTCGATACTATATTAAATAATGTTTTCTTCCTGTTCTGGTAATTATACAATAAATTCACTTCACCCTTGATTATTTCAGAAGTTCAGAGATAAGTGAATCCTCTCCATGACCTGAGCCTTTGCCTAGTTTTCAGTAAAATCTTTTATTAGTTTACACACTACTAACCCAAACTATTCACTGTACACATCTTTGGTACAGCCTCCTTTTCAAATGATCATGGCAAAAATGTGTACATTTCTCTCCATCAACAAGAGAGCAATACATTGTATTAGAAACACATGTGCATTAGAATCAGCGATCTGAATTGTAGCTTTGCCTCCTAATTCCATTATCTCCAGGCAAGTTTTTCAGTCTCTCTCAGCCCAGGGACCCCATTTTAAAAAGGGGTAATCATATATTTGATAATATTTTATAATAGTTAAGGTAATATATGTAAAACTCCTTAATCACCATAGGCACTTATTAATGCTAATGCAGTGGTTTTCATAGTGTAGTATCAGAATCACCTGGAACTTGTTAGAAATGGACATTCTCAGGCCTCAGGCAGACCCACTGAATGAGAAACTACTAGGGATAAAAACATAGTTTGTTACAGTTCACAAGAGGAGAAGACATACCATGCCATACAGGAATACACTGGCAAGCACTGGGCTGGGTAAGGAACGAAAAGGAGCAAAGGGCATGAGCCTTTATTGTTTCGACGTGCAAGGCAGGGGAAGCATAATTAGGATTGGCTAGTTTGAATAATTTCAGCAGACTCTGAAGAAGAGAGGCTGTCCCCAGTTGTTTAGTACTTAGCCCTGGGATGATTAGGACAGGGGAATATTGACCTGGAATATGAGAGCCTGATAGAGGAGTCTGGGGCTCTCTATTGGTTCTTTTGCAAATAAAAGGCAAGCTCCTGGAACTAATGGTTTGCTGTCACAAGGAATTAGCTAACCCTGGGTGGGGCAGTCCCTCCCATATTGGTAGGGCCCCAGATGCCAGAGCATCGAGAATACAGAAAATAACCCTTGCCAGTGCATCATCCCATAACCAAAGGAGGGCACGTTTGATTCCCAGTTAGGGCACATACCTAAGTAATGGGTTGGACTGCCTGTCTGCCAGGTCCAGGTGTGTGATCTGCAGTCTGGGTGCATACAGGAGGCAACCAATCAGTGTCTCGTTTTCTTTCTCCCTTCCCTTCTCTTAATAAAGCAATAAAAAAATGTCTTTGGGTGAGGATCAAAAAGAAATACAAAAAATATCATTGATACACAAGATAGATGACTATCCCAGTGATCTTGTAAATGTGGTTCCTGCTTGGATAGAGACTGAACTAGATGTTTTCTAAAACTCTGTGATTCTGATTCATTTACACTGCTGCCAACTCTCCAAACAACTTAAATTGAAAACAAGGAAATAGGGGTTGTAGGATCTCCAAGGATCTAGATTAGAATGTCATTAAAATTGGTATTAATTCTGGAAACAGGAGATGATATTCAAGTGAAGTAGAAATGTAGTAAACTAGTTCTCACACAGTGTTGTGAGTAGACAGAAGGGACAAGTGATAAACAAGAAACTGTAAGGTTTGGGGATAAACAGTCAAAGCTATGTGTATATGGTCTCAGGTATTATTTAAGCTCAGAAAGCTCCACTCAGAAAGTACCACTCCAGTCTGTGGCCACAATCAAAAGTACCTATAAAATGCTAATATTAGGAAGAGTTTTGAAAATTAAGAAGAGAATCTTATCAACCATTATTGGAAACAAGACACAAAACTTGCCTCACCTTATGTATGTATATAATTTGCTTACTGGATTTCTGGTTGAAAATGTGAGTTGAAGAAAGCCCAAAGAAGCATAACAAAAGTGACCAAGAAAAGGCAGGCCGCTAAACATGTGGGCCTTTCAGTCTGAAAGGCAAGGCTGAAAAAGAATATTATCCAAATCTACAAAATCATGATTAATATGGATGGGCATGGTGAAGTTGGACTTGCTTATCAAGTTCCTGAATGTTAGTAATTAAGGTAGCAAACCCTTGAATAAAAAAAAAAAAAAAAAAAAAAAGGAATATTTAGAGGCAGCAAGTTTTGTTATTTTCATGCTGTATAAGAAACTGTTCTACCCAGAGGTGGTATAGGAAGACATAGTTTTGAAACTGAATTATTAGGCAAGAAAGCATCTTGGAAATCATTTGTCCAAATCCTCACTTCACACATGGGGAAAGCAGCCCAAGAGAGGTATGTTGGCCATAGTGACATGGTTAGCAAGATCCAGGTAAATATAAGCATTTATTCTGGACACTGTTTATTCTACCCTGCCATGTGATTAAATAAATCCACTAACAATTTCTAAAGGTTTTTTAATGGAAGCTAAAAATTTAGGAATATATCCTTCTTAATATTGACAGCATGGAAAACAGCTCAGCAGTCCTACAAAACATACCCTTATATGACAATTGAAGACAGAACAAAGGCCAAGCGCAACCATTAGATACATTCACATTTGATTACATTTATTTAGGATTGGTGTCAGAAATGATGCTATGTGACAGCTCTCCATTAGGCGCCAATAGACAATAAATAATGGTTCACCCTTTGTCATCCCTGGGTTTTGTGCAGACATGGAGATGGGGCCTCAAAGAAAGATGAGAATACACGCTTTTTTGGCTCTGCTTATATTCTTGTAATGAGATTGGGCTTTGTACATCAAGCCTTTAATGAAGTTTACTACAACATACCTTATGTAGTCAGTGTTCCTGAATTTTTCTCTAGACCCTGTTCCAATAAACTCATCTTTATTTTTTTATTTATTTTATTTTTTATTGTATTTTTTCATTACCATTTATCCTCCCTATACCCTTTCCTGTTCTACCCAATACCCTCTCACCCACAATTGCCACATTGTTGACTGTTTCCATGAGTTGTTTTTCTTTTTTCTCCATCCTTCCACCCCTCAGGCACCGCCCCCCCACAAAACTGTCATCCTGCTATCTATGAGCCTAACTCTATTTTGCCTATTCAGTTTGTTCATTATATTCTACATATGAGTGAAATCATATGGTGCTTATCTTTATCTATTTAGCTTATTTCACTTAGCATGATGCTCTCCAAGTCCAACCATGCTGTCACAAAAGATAAAATTTTCTTCTTCTTCACAGCCAAATAGTATTCCATAATGTAAATGACCCATAGTTGTTTTATCTACTCATCTACTGATGGACACTTAGGCTGCTTCCAAATCTTGGCTATTATAAATCACTAAAATGAACATAAGGGTGCACATATTCTTTCCAATTTGTGTTTCAGATATCTTTGTATAAATTCCCAGAAGTGGAATCGCTGGGTTATAAGGCAGTTCCATTTTTAATTTTTTTGAAGTAACTCCATACTGTCTTCCTCAGTGGCTGAACAAATCTGCATTCCTACCAAGAGTGCAAAAGGGTTTCTTTCCCTTTCTCCACATCCACACCAGCACTTGTTGTTTGTTGATTTATTGATGATAGCCATTCTTACAGGCATGAGATGATATCTCATGGTGGTTTTAATTTGCATTTCTCTTATGTTTAGAGATGCTGAGCGTCTTTTCATATGTCTATTGGCCATCTGTATGTCCTTTTTGAGAACTATTCTTTGCCCCTTTTAAAATTGGATTGTTTGTGTTTTTGATGTTGAGTTTTATAAGTTACTTATAAAATTTGGATATTAACCTCTTATCAGATATATTGGCAAATATGTTCTCCCATCAGTGGTTTGTCTTTTTGTTTTGCTGATGGTTTCCTTGCTGGGCAAAAGCTTTTTAATTTGATGTAGACCCATTTGTTTATTTTTCCTTTTGTTTTCCTTGCCTGAGGAGACATATCAGAAAAAATATTGCTATGAGCAATATCTGAGATTTTACTGCCCATATTTTTTTCTAGGATTTTTATGGTTTGGGGGTTAACATTTAAGTCTTTGATCCATTTTGAATTTATTCTTGTGTGTGGCATAAGAAGGTGCTCTAGTTTCATTTTTCTGCAATATTGAAGGCAACAAAGTAAAGGTAAATTGTATCTCTGACAAGAACACCTTACAAATGCGTCTTATATAGGTAACCTGACATACTTGAGAACCATTTGCACATATCAGCAGTCAGTTGGAAAGGCAAGAAATGGAGGATTGGAATCTGAGGTGCTTTCCTGCCAATTTGCAGATGCACCAATGTCACATAAGGAAAACTAAAGACTGAGTAAATTTTTTTTCCATTTACTTTTAATTGCTATTACACTTTAACTTATTTTTCAGAATCTTGCATGAGCATTTTAAAATCTTTGTCATGCTACCCCTTACTGTAGGTAATGTTTTGGCTAGGAAATAGAACACTGGGAGTAGCCTGGGATTGGGAAACCTGGTCCCTTCCTTGTGCACTGAAGTTTCTGCTCAATGAAAATAACCTCCATCCCACATTTGAGATACCATTGCCTGTCTTGGCACACACCTCAGCCTTTATACCATCCTGTCTGAGGTGCCATCAATAGTAAATAACATAAACTGATGTAGCTAGAGCTTTCACTGACAGAAAACACAAAAGTTGGGCCTCCTGACTCAGCAAGATCTCTAGTATTACTAGCTAAAAAAAAAAAAAATCTCCTTAAAATGAAATTGAAACACAGTCAATCAGGGTTTAACAAGCGCTGTATTGCCAGAAAACCCTAAGCCTGGAAAAAAGAAATCTGTGGTTGTGCAATTTTATGTACCCACCAACCACCATCAGGACATGAGTTAAGGCAAAAGGCACACAGCATCCTCTCCAATGTCTCTGTAGAGGGTACCATGGAGACTATGTACAAGGAAGATCCCCCCCAACCTGGCAGAATCTAGGGTGACTGTTTTGGCTGACCAAGGAACTCAA